TCAATTAATCAATTATCATTACATATGGCTTTATTAAATCAATAAAGAGTCATCACTCTTTGCCCGTCGACGTAATCGGTCATCTGTTATATGCTACAACTGGGATAACACCACAAACTATCTTTAAAGGAAAGCCCTTCGGCCCATCCTTCTATGTAGGGTATTATATTTTAACAATCAACCTATTTTATAGTGTTAAAATTCAGCCTTTCTTATGTAAATGCAACAATTAAAATGCAATAGGAAATAATCAATTCTATTCAATATAAGAAAATCTATATAATAATCAAAATCATTGAAAACTAAAATGAGATTTGAGTTATTTACAACAAATAGAAGGAATCTCTGAACAAAATTAATAGATGAAAAAGCCTCAAATAACCTTCTCTCTTGTTCGAAAAGTCACGACATTGAAATTTAGATTTTTCATTTAAAAGAAAATCATTTCAAAAAAATTTGCATTGTTATATACATTTTCTGCTCACCTACTTGAGTTAGCTGAGATGAATTCTTCTAGTCTTTTAGCCTTTATCAAATCTTTCATGAGGTTTTATAGGTGTCTGCACTACAGTACGATGCATGTGGTCCTTATGAAATGTATAAAATTATAAGGTGTTCCTAGTGTGGGTGACTGCCTTCTTCTACATCAAATGCCTAAAGAACTATTTAGTTTGAATGGCCTCCACCAAGTCGACCATAGACACGTGCAAGGGAGTAATGGCCAGATACTGGTGAGGGGTGCATTTTGTTATATTTGTATGGGAGGGCACTGTGTGATATTTCCTCCATTCACAAGCGGATGGGCCTATGATTTTCAAGGTCATGAGAGCCTAGCCTCATTCTATTTGTCATGATGATATTACTTCTATTATGCACTTTTCTTTCTTTCCACCCACTGAGCCATTCGGTGACTCCTATCATGCCTTCAATGTTGGGACTAATCATGCATTGAAAGTGGTTCTTTGACGGGGTGCATTTTGTTATCTCTGTATGGGTGGGCATTGTGTGATATTTTTCCATGCACAAGCGAATGGAACTATGATTTTGAGGGTCATGAGAGCCTAGCCTCATTCTATTGGTCACGATGATATTTCTTCTATTATGCACTTTGCTTTCTTTCCACCCACTGAGCCATTCGGTGACTCCTATCATGCCTGCAATGTTGGGACTAATCATGCATTGAAAGTGGTTCTTTGAGGGAGTAGACAAGGCACACTTGACCACATTGTTGTATACTTCCTCATCTATGTAGCTACAACATAATTTTAAAATAAATTTTATAATTATAAAATACATTATGATCAAATTTAGGCCAAAATAATTATACCTATTTTCGTAAAAAAAATGAATAAAAAAGATATTATACTACTAATATTGTGGAATGACTTTTCCAGCTCACAGTACTTTCATATGCCTCACATTAAAAGTCTAAAGCAAGCAATATCTCCTTTAAAAGTGCAAAGTAGGCTACATAATGATTTATCAACAGAGGGTCCCCTTTTCAACACCAATAAATAATCATTGAAAAGTTAGCTATCTAATTTGGCTCGATCAGGACCATACATTTCTAATCATTTATAACTACCAAACCCCACCGAATACTTATTGATAAGCCAATGAGCATAACTTTTTTTAAATTTAAATTAAATTAAATTGTAGATTAGCATTTAATTTACTCAAATTGTTCGATTTTTAACTTAATTTAATTACACATTTTTAAAATTTTAGATTTAAATCAAATGGTACTAAATATATTTAATTATACGCACTGAGGCTTTTGGTGGTTGGTGGGCAAACATGGTTGGAAATCCCCCACCCCGGGTTTAAATCCCCTCTACTACGACCTCGCTTCTTCAATGCGGCAAAGCAAGTGTAGGTCTGATGTCAGTGGGTGGCCTCGCTAGGTTCCTCCGAGGGATTAGTTACGCTGTCAAGCGCTCCATTTGGAATGGCAGTGGATAGATACTCATGTTCAATATATATATATATATATATATATATATATATAATTATATATTAGGAGTGACTAGCATTATAAAAATAATTATAAATTAATTTTTGAGAAAATTATTATTATTTAAATATTATGATTATATAATATTTTAAATATATATTAATATATATATATAGTTTTAATATATATATAATATTATATAGCAATCTTTTTATGGCTATCACATTCTACATATTTTGATTGATAAAAGTAACTTTTATTATAAAATTTTAAAAATAATTATCAAATAAATATATCATAGCAATTAAAAAATAAAATAATAAAAAGGCGGACCAAACAAATATTTTAAAAATCAATTTTATTTTTATTCATATTTTAAATTAAGTTTGATTGAGGATTAGCCATTTATTTTTACTCAAATTTGTTCAATTTTTTAAAACTCAATTATTATTTTTTTGGAAATTTTACTTTAAATAAAATGATATCAAATATCTCTAATTGTAAGGTGCAAAATTGTTGGGAATTTTTTTTTTTAATATGTTATGAGTATTATAAATATATGCTTTTTTAATCTAAGAGTAATTATTTATAATTCTCATATATTAGTAGATTTGCTTTAAAAATATTTTTTATTATAATTTTTTTAAAAAATAATTATCAAGCAAATATATAATAAGAACTAAAATATTGAAATAAGCAGTTTCCTACTCCTAAAAAATCTTAGATAAAACCTTTGTATTAAGGTTTCGTTTGGGATAACTTTCTTCTAATTTTTATTTTAACTTTTTAGTACAAAATTTTTAAATTTAAATTTTTTTTTATTTCAAAAGGTTACTTTAAAAAAATAATAAGAAAACTATCCAAGTGAAGCCTAAAGTTACTATTATTAAGAGGAAGACCGTTTTTCTTTTGGGTTGGTGGGCCAACGTGATTGGGAACCCTCAACCCGTATTCGATTCCCCTCCCATGCAACACGACCCCTTCAGTGGAGAGAAAATAAAGTGCGGGTCCGACCCTTATGACGTTGATTGCTACTAAACCAGCCGAGAAATTTGTTACACCGTCGAGCATCCTTTTTCAAGATGGGAGTAGGTAGATAGTTACCCAAAAAAAAGCTCCAAGTTGTGCACGTTTTTTAAAGAAGCCAACTAGAAAAATTAATGGTAAAATGAACCGCAGAAGCAGCCTTGCTTCCTATCCATTATCCCTTATCTCTCTCCTCTCTCTCTCTCTCTCAAAATTCTTACGCACGTGCACAGGAAAAGCTTCATAATCTACTAGAAAGATCCTTCGTGTATTAATCATCGTTGCATAAATTATTTTAATGATTAGAATTATTTATTTGGATTTGCGTATGTCTAAGTACGCCACTAATCTTTAATTAAACGATGCTTAATTCAGTGTTAATCATGATTAGGAGGGTAAGCTAGCTAGCTAGCTAGTTACAGTATTCTGTTAGTTCACTTATATAGTTATATGTTTAAACAATCATATTACTGTATTTTGATAACTATTTTTAGATAGAATCCTAAAATATAAAAAGATAAATATCCATTTTCATTAGAGACTTTGATTTTTTTTTAAACGTAAAAAATTGTTTTATGCTTATTTAAATGCATTTCATTTTTTTTAATTTATTATTTTATATATTGTAGATATGTATCTACAACCAATAAAAATTGCATTCAGCCATCTGATATCCTAAAGTTTTTTGGCTCTACTTTGCTGTGATTAATCTCTGTGATTCTTTAGGAAGCCTAATATTATCAAGCTCCTACTTTTTTTTTTCTTTTTTCTTTTTTTTTTTTTTTTTTTTAAGGGAAGGGGTGGGGGGTTTTTTTTTTTTTTTTTTTTTTTTTTTTTTAGGGCAAGGATGAATCACTTCTATAATATGTTTTGCGACCAAGTGGCATCATCAATGGAGTTTTTGATTATATCTATGATTGTGCTAATATTCTGCTATCATGGAAGGCAACTATCACTGAATCTCAAAGAAAAAAAATAATAATTGGATTACACTAAACCCTATTTTTTGTCTTAAAATCGTAGCTTTTTTTTCTTTTTTCTATTTCAATTTTATATATTTTCTCTTATATTACTCTTGATATATCTATAAATTGTAAACTTTTTTAATATAAAATTTATCAATCAAAATGTTAGATATGAAAAAATTATTACTTGCGGAGTTCATATTTCATCTGGACTCCAATCAGATAGAGTCACGTGACTTTTTTTCTCTTTTGTACACAATCTGCATACAAGAGAGAAAATTTAGAAAAAAAAATTATATGACTTCGTCTGATTGGGGTCCAGATGATCGAACTCCATCCGTAATAATCTCTCCTAGATATTCCTCAATTCCCTAAACCTAAGGCAAGTTTATAAAAGCTGATCTAAATGATATACAAATGCTACCGTTAACATCTCAAACAACGCTCAAATGCAAACAATTATAAAATAAAAACTCATAAAGCTGACACCAAATTAAATAATTGGGAGAAAACTATTGATGATCCATCTTTATTGAAAAAAAAAACAAAAAACAAAATCAATCAACACATCCTCATCAAAATTTGCACATAACATACAATTGGGAGGACAAGAAATATATATATATATATAATTAAAAAATCTTCTTGATGATGTAGTGCAAGTATGCAGAGTGCATGCAAACATTTAATTAACGGGAAATTATTGGGTTCAGATACCGGATGTCACCCAAAGCCCAATGAAAATGCGCCACATCATCCCCTACTCGGTACTGAGCTTGATACTGCTCAGTACTTTGAAATACCGAACTCAGTACTTCACAGTACCGAGCTCAGTATTACTCGATATGGTGAAGTACTGAACGGTAAGCTATGTCCGATGTCTGAACCCAATAATTTTCCGTAATTAACAGTGCACAAATACTACAGGCCTACCTGATGATAAAGAAAATGTTAGCGCATCAAAATCAACTACTACAGTCCTGTTTTATGAACCATTTTGGCAAAGAAACCTCAAGAAATGGAAATTTTTTAACAAACCAGAGACACTAAAGCTGTATTCACTATAAGAATACTATTGCTATTATTGAAGAAGTTCATAACCAGCAATGTTAAATTTACACACAAGAAATATGGAGTAGAAGAAGGGATAGTGAGTGAAGCTGAAACATATAATTCATTTTATTTAGGCTTTGTTTGGGACAGCTTTCTTATTGCTTCTTAAAGCGGCTTTCTAATTAAAAAATTAAAAAAAACTGCTTTAAGAAGCAATAAAAAAGCCGTCCCAAACACAACCTTAACCCACTCATTCATACAGTAAAGGAATCATATACTTAGTGAGGGATATCACTTAAATTGCAGGGTGAATATTAAAACAGCGGTTAGATATGTGAGGTGAGGATGAAATAGCAGAGAAATATGGCTGCAGTTTATCACAGAGCTAATCAAGAATGATCCATTGCTTATCAAGTTAGTGTACCTCGCATCAATTATGTGATGAAATATTACCTGTGTTGATGCTTTTGAACTTTTTGCTGAAGGAAAATTAGAAAAAGAAAGGGAAGTCTCTGGGTTTCTGAGGCTTAAAACAATCTGATCGAGCCCATCCAATCTTCTGCTGCACATTATCATATACAACCAATCTCCCGCGCAATGAGATATCTGCAAATTACAATTGAAAGCTTACAAATATCAGTCAAAAAGGCCAGTAGATACCCTACTGAGTAATTCAAGGGAAATGCATATTTATGTTCAATCAGCAAAACTTGGATGGTTTGAATGTGAAGGCTGACATTAGTTCTTTCTACATGATATGTAAGAAGAAGATTCATAAATATTAAAATGATTTTGTTAGAACAGGAATATGAAACTTCTTTTCTCATAAGATAGAATAATCTTTCAAGAAACTAAAGCTTCATTTGGTTCCTCTCCTTTTGTGAAAGGTAGTTTTAAAAATATTGGTTAAGGGAATGGAGTTTTCTAACAGAAAAATAAATATCAAAAAACTTCTCAAAACAGTAGAAAAATGAAGTTCACTGAAAAATATTTCTATAGAAGCATCCCATCCAAAAAGCGAACAAAAAATAATTTCGTCGTTTCTAGACAAAAACAAGAAAACAAAATGCCGAAACAAACGAGACCTAAATCAAATGTACAGTTCATCCTCTTTTCCGGCAGTTCATATAATGTAACAAAAGATGGAAGATAACATAACATGTGGGGGAAAAGAACAGCTATAAATAGCCTTCAAATGTCGGACAGAATAAACACCAAATACCTCCTAATATAATTGTTGCTCCATCATGCACTTCACTGCCATTAAGTATCCCCAAGCAGATATTTCCCTTACTCTGTTAACATTAAAATATAAGAAATCAGTAGTTCTATTAGAAAATAGTGCATACTAGTACACCATGATAGAATGTCTATCTGAGCTGAAGAACCTCACATTGATTACTAAATAATCATCCGGTAGAATAGTAAAAGTTGTGGGCAGAATTCTCCATCTTTTCACAAAATGCAGGATTAAGGGCTCAAAAAACTGCTTCACATCTCCAATGGACCTGCAGCGGCCAAGTAAATTTAAAAGTTGCACTCATCTGCAAAGAATATGCTACTTGTGCTTAGCAAAGAAGTTTGTTGGACATGAGCACGCCTAGTTATTTTAAAAGAAAGCCACAACCTCTTTAGGAAATCACCTTAGAGAGCTATCTTGCCAACATACAGGCAATAATGGGTCTGAGTTATCTGATATGAGACCATGGGAGTGATAATCAAACTGCCAAAGTGAGAGTTTAAGCATTAAGCTCAAAAATAAATGACAAACGTAAACTACGAAGTTGGTCATCCAAGAGCTTACGGAGTTAATAAGACTGGAATATATTTCATTCGGAAAGAATGAGTAAGTGCTGCCAGAATCAAACACAGTAAGATATGCATTTCCACCCTTTTGTCCTATACTGATTTGTTTGCTTCCGTAGCCAATTTTCTGAACCTGGGTACTATAGAAGTTCCTGCAAGTAACGCATAGTTAAAACAAGCGAGCCACTGTAGCTTTGAAATTATTTGATAATAGACATCTATAATTCAGAAATTGCTTATACTATCACGTGGTAAGCAACTTTTTTATTTCCAAATAGAACTTTGCTAAACCTACCAAAGATATAACCTAAAAAATTCGAAAATGTGTTTCAGATTGGTGCGAGTGGATTGTTGGAGTGCATTTCTATCCATATTTATGCTTCAATGATATAAAATGCAAAAATAACTCTAAATTAAATACTAAAGTGACCTCATGCTCGCATCAATTGCCTAAAAACCAGAAGAAATATCCTCTTGAGAGTTTAATAACGCGACCAAGATGGTGAAGGAGTTGGAACTACCTCATGGACTTATCTGTTATCATCTTCTAAAATAATAAGGATGAGTAAAAATAGAAAGTGTGAACATTAGTAGAGGTGCCCATGAGAAATATCTTGATAATAATATAAATATTAAGATTTATGAAGTTGATGCTACAGATCAATACATGAAATACAATAATAGGATAGAGAAGGTTGAGGATTAAGCAAATGGATGCGATCAAATGTTAAAAGTGAATGTAGATCTCTACTAAGATAAGAAATTTAATAGTAAAAATTCAAGACGTGAACCAAGTAATATGTACAATCTTATTATTAATATGGATCATTATTATGACGCCTTAAAGATAATTTGAAATAATAATATCCATAGGATTGCATGATGCATAACAAGATGACGGACTGCATTTGTAGCAATAAGACGGCTTAGCTAGGATGCAAGGCCAATTAAAGTTGTAGCTTGCAAATCTAGCATGAATGGCAACAGAATCAGCCATGGTGTCAAATAATAACGACATTGGCAATTAACTGACAAGCAAAAAAACCAAATTTTGTAGAAAAATAAAAGATATAAGCCCAAAATAAGGGTAGCCGGATTCCTTTTCAAGATTAAACTTTAGCCCTTGTCCCGACAAGATGAAAGAAAAACATGATAGTATAATGAAAATTTTCTATTGAGAAAAAAAAAACAACAAATTAATACAATAAGAACCCTTAACATAAAAAATTATTTGACTCTTATGAGGATACTTCAGCTGATTCTAATTTTTTAGGAGAGAGACTGGCTCAAATGCCAATTAATGCAAGATGAAATGCTCTACACCATTAGCTTGTGAAGTGATCAGAATAAGAGAGCACCAATGTTATAGAAAACTGAATTATGAAGAACTTTAAATCACTTCATTTCAATAAAAATTAAGAAAAAAAGGTCAAAAGATAATTGGGATTAGGGCTTCAGGAATTAGGAAAACCAAACGAGGAGAGAGAACTGACGAGGAGAATGATTTCAAAATTATTCGAGTATCCTTTAGCCCATGACATCCTCCAATAGAAAAAAGAGTCATGTTTATTGCAAATAAGTCCAAATTGAAATGAAAATTACATAAAATCTACTAATAAATGATTCCTGGGATAAACATCAACGGAAAATGCAAAAATACAAATAATTATAAATTAAATCCTAAAGTAGTTTCATGTCCTGCATCATTAATACTGTATTTTAAGATGTTGTACGCCATGCCGTGTCTGCACAAGATGGGCAAAGCATTATTGATTTATGGTAAAATTCTGAGTTACTCTAAGGCAAAGCAACAAAAAAAATGATGAAGAATAAATATTGGGAGTGTAAGAGAACCAACAAACTAGTTATTCTGTTAAAAATGGAAACAACCAATAAAGCTTAGTATAATTGCTCATCAATTCTAAATTTTGTAAAAGACGGCAATATTTATAAGAAAAACTTAGGTCATGTTAAAGAGTATATATTGTAGCTAGTCCTAGGATAAAATAACAATTTTATCATTGTATCAAATGAAGGGAAAATGAAATTTAGATTATGAAACCTTTTAAAGATTTCAAATTTTCAACTATTGAAATCAACGTTGTGTTACTCCCAAAATATAGGGGAAACCTTAAGAAAATAAGCATCTCCTACAATGGAAAACATAATGCCATTGTAAACAATTTGTATTAAGGCGCTATAAGTTTGATTCAATAATGTTGCAAAGATAAGCATATTTTAAAATAGAAGATTTTAGGATAAATACAAATTAACTTTATATTTTCATGGAAATATATAATTTAAAAGTTTGTTACAGTATTAATTATTTGGGATAGCACCAAATCAAACTTTGAACCTAAATTATTTTTTATATAAACATTAACTCTAGCATAAATAGAAAATATGTGAAGGCATGCAATGCTTACGGGCTAGTTAAAAAAACAGGCAACATAATCGGTCGCAATTATGCTTGTTGTGAGGACTAAATCAAAAAGAGGACAGAGATAGACAGAGGGAAAGAAAAAGAAGAAAATAAAACTAGCTCAGCTCAATTTTATGACCGATTTATTGCAAGCATTATCATACCAAAAATATTGCAAGGAGTCCATAGTTGTGTGAAGATACCCTTTTGAATAGCATTTTGATAGGACTTGAGCACCAAAATCAGCGAACAAACAGTAAAATTCAGCAAACTCATAAATTCTCTTGATAAAAAAAAGAAACATGAACAAGCAAGATACAATATTCTTTCAAGAGGACTTTCTCTCTCAAATTCTAGATCTCGCTTGTATCCCTCACAAAAACAGTAGATAGCTAAACCTCACAAAATTCAGCATACAAAAACCTCCCCTAACCTTAGGGTAAATCAACTACTTTGTAAATAAAAAATAGCTCCAAAACAGCCCCCCTCCAATTCTCTCTCAAATATATCATATTTCCTTAATAATTTCCCTTCCAAATCAGCCCCCAAATTAGCCCTCTTCAATTAGAAAACATTTCTAAGTAATCCCCTTTAGATCAACCCCAAATCAGCCCTCAAATCTGTCATATTCAATTAAGAAACATTTCCTAATTAATACCATCCAAATCAACCCTCAAATATGCCCTCTTCAATTAAGAAATATTTCCTAATTAAGCCCCTCCAAATTTGCCCCCAAATATGCCCTCTTCAATTAGGAAACATCTCCTTATTAATCCTCTTTGATTAAGAACCTTACCAAACAACTCCTAGGAAACTCTCTAATTCCCTCCCAATCAAATCAACCGGTCCATCAATACTCCTCTCCCAAAGTGTCACCTTGTCCTCAAGGTGGAACGAAGGAAATTACTACTAAAGCACTGGACTAATAGCACTATACTGAAAATTGGACTGTCATTGGGTCAAATGATCCCTACCTCCAACATCTCCCTAATCAATCTCTCGATTTCATCCCTGTAGAGTTGGAGAGAATAGTAAGAAGGAACACTGAAATATGAAGCTCATTCCTTCAAAATGATAATGCTCCTATTCTCGCGGAGGAGGCAACCCCTGAACTGGATGGAACACCTATGATATTGTTGTAGGAGTGGTTGAGCCATGCTTGGTGCTTCTATATTCTCCTCATCTTCTTCTCCTTCCAAACTCTGCAGCTCCACCAAAAATTTCACTCTTTCACCATTTCCCCTCCTTGGCAGTGGCTCCAAAGGTAGCATCCTCATATTCTTCCCCCAAAATTTCTACCTACCTTTTTTTTTTACCCCAAAATTTCTACCTCCCCATCCTCCCTCATTGTCTCTATATTAGGGTTTCCCCCATGTCTTTTTTTTATCAATGGTCCCCTTGCCTCCGATATTATCAGTTGAGTGTGATGCTCCAATATTTTCGTCATCATGTCCTCTAGATTAGAAAGTCTTCCTTCCATTACCAAAAAGCGCGCATTCAACAATCTCACATCCATTTGCAGCTGCCCAACTTCTCTCTCCAACTTTTCTTCCAACGCCTCAACTCTTTTCCCAACCATCAGTTTCAAGAAATTTCTCTAATACCAATTTGATAGCACTTACGCACCAAAATCAACGAACAAACAGTAAAATTTAGCAAACCCACAGATTCTCTTAATAAGAAAAAGAAACAAGAGCAAGCAAGATACAATGGTCCTCTTTCAAGAGGAAGACATTCTCTCCCAAATCCAAGATGCCGTTAGAATCCCTCATAAAAATAGTGTACCGCAAAATCTCACAAAATTCTACATACAATAGTATGATACAAAAACCTCCCATAACCCTAAGGTAAATCAACTACTTAAAGCAAACAATAAACAACAAAAACCAAAACAGTCCTCCAATTCCCTCCCAAATATGCCCTATTTCCTTAATTATTTCCCTCCCAAATCAGCCCTCATCCGCCCTCTTCAATGAGGAAATATTTTCTAATTAATCCCCTCCAAATCAGCCCCTAAATCAGCTCCCAAATCTTCCCTCTTCAATTAAGAAATATTTCCTAATTATCACCTCCAACTTAGCCACCAAATCTATCCTCTTCAATAAAAAAATACTTCCTTATTAATCCCCTCCAAATCAACCCCCAAATATGCCCCCTTCAATTAGGAAACATCTCCTAATTAATCCCCTTTAATTAAGAACTTTCCTAAACAACTCCATCTTGATTAGAAAATTTCCAAATTCCCTCCCAATCAAATCGGCCGATCTATCACAGTTAAATGGAGAATTGCTAATATTATTCAAATATTTAATATCTATTATCTCTTTTGTATGATTATCTTATTAATTTAGCTTTAAAATTAGGGCTTCTCTTTCCTAGTGATAGTAAGTGTGCTTGCTTTTAAGGAAGAGCATTTTTATGTCCCTTTTTATTTGCAAATATATATAGTTTCTCTATAGTCAACAAAATCATTTGTCCTCTCTTGTGAATGTTAGATATTGTTTTATCTTAATCATGAAAATGTTGGTGTCTTCTAGTGGTATTTGGTTTATCTATTATTATTTTGTGTGTTTATCATATTCACTCCTAGTAAATGCTTTCACATAAAAAATAGACTTTTTAAATAGCTGATACCAAAGCCTAAACTATGATATTCATGAGCATAAGATTGAAAAGCTTAACAACAAAAGAGTTTAGAGTTTTGGATAACTAAGAATTGTTGTCTTTTAATCCACCTAGTACTGAAAAAAGCACTAATAAGGCACTCTAATATGTCTACTACTAAGAGTGAAGATAAAATAGAGATTAGGGGTGTCAATAGATGACCCAATCTGCCAAACTGACCCAAACCCAACCAAAAAAACTAGGGTTCGGGTTGACCCATTCAATAAATAGATCATGCTCAAGTCATGCATTCCGACCCGTTTATTAAATGAGACAGGTTCGGGTTAACCAGTCAACAAGATTTTGATCCAAAAATTGCTTGTTTAATATATTTGTTCTTAAATTCTTTTATTTATTGGTATAATCTTCTTATTTTAATCAATTAATCTAAAATCTATAATTAATAAACGAATAAAATTATTTTTTTTAATTAAAATGGGTTATCAGATCGGGTTCGGGTCACTAGCGGGTCAGGTTTGAGTTCAATATTTTGATCATTTATTAAACGAGTCGTGTTCGGGTTGATCAGATTCGGATCAAGACAATTTCAGATCAAACTCGAACCCAACCCGTTTACCCGTTATAACACCCCTAATAGAGAAAGTTCCAATACAAAATTAATGAAGGTTCCTATACAAAATTAATCCCAATTTAGTTCATGAGGGGTGATTTAGGATATTTTGTACAGTCGAATGACTAAATTAGAAAAAAATGATACCCTGAAATTAAATTGGCCATATATGAATAGTCCGATGACTATTTTGGGCCTTTTTCCTATTCTATCTTTGAGCACTCTTAATAATGTGGGATGAAATGTTTAAGACCTTAAAGTTTGTAAAAATAATATATATTTCATAAGATGCAAATTCAAGTGGTGCAACTTCAATTATATCATCTTTCTCTTGGCTTCAATATAAGGAAACAAAAAAATGTTTAGCTTCTTAATTGGAAGTTAGGTTCTATGGAAAGAGCACAAACTGAAAGGGAGATCATTGGACATGATAAGGTAAATTGGTCTCATGTTGTATACTTTGTCCCAACACCAGATCATATTATTAAAAATTTCAAATCGTGGAGATAACCACTTTAAGGACATGAAGATTCAATGACAGATGTCCTTTCAATATTAGTAGAACCATCTCAATGTGTAATATATGTGCTTCACACTTCTCACATGATTTTTCAAGTTCGAAAGGGTCAAATGAGCTTTTAGAGATTGAAAATTACTCAACCTTTCATGGCTTTAAGAGCTTAATTAGCTTTATTTTGGAGAAAATAAGGCACATATGAGATCAAAAGTATATTGTTATATTATGACTCAAGATATATTAATTAAAATTTTAGCTCAATCATTTTGATAAGGTAAGCAAAAATTTTAAAAAAAAAAAAAACACTATTATTTATGAAACCCATGGCCAACTGTCACCTCGGCCATCAATGACCCTAGTACATCTAACATTAAAAAAGGCATATGACAACCAAATCTTCTCAGAATTCTTTTCTGACCACTGACTACCATTGTTATGGACTCATTTCTCAATCATCAACCATCAATACAAAAGCCCAAGAACCCCAAAGGTCAATCTCCTCTTCAATGCATGCCAGAAACCTAATATAACGCTTAAGAAAGGAAATATAAAAATAGTTCAGAATTTGAATTATTGAAAACCAACAAAGCACCCTCTAGATTCTTTAAAGGTCAAGGAAATGCCAAGCTGCAATCAGTTTGATAAGAGCAGTTTCTTCTAGACAAAAAACAAGCATGAAATGAAACATTAGATCAAACAAATCTTTGCAAGCAGAACAATTCAGCAGTAATAAGAAAAAAGGTAAAAAAATTAAAGAATGCAGCATCTCAGTTTAACAGTTGCAAAAAAATGATGCAGTCTTGTATACAAAGGTGGGAAAAGAAGAAACAGCGTCATTTACTAAGATCAAGGATATCATACGTGAGGCCATTTTGTGTGGGAACCCAAGTCATACCCCACCGAGGTACAAAGTCATCTCCAAAGAACATGTATCCACCATCATTTGCTCCGCCACTAATACAATGTCCAACAACATTATTGATGATTCCTTGATTTGCCAATTGAGAATTGAGACTAACTTTAGCACTACTAAGACCAAGGATCCCATCTGTTTTTGCAGGAGTATTTAAAAACTGGCCTCGCTGATCATATGCACACCTAATTTAACATATGTAAATTAAATTCTTCGATGGATACAGAACAATAAACAATTTCGGTTGCAGTAAAAGTCTTACCCAAAAACAAAATTCACTTTTGATTTGTCACCATTTGACATCATTAGCTGCATTTCATCCCTTGCTAGAACGCCCATGGAGGAGCTATGATCAGCATATGCTACCTCATAATCACATTGATGACATGAGTCGCATGACCACTGGTTCTGATTATGTTGGATTTCTTGGCATAAATGATCCTCTGGTTGAACTATTTTACCTTTTGATGGTTTGTACCATGGATGAGGTCCCTACAACAGCAACAACAACATCAAACCATCATCCCACTATGTAAGGTGGGCTACATGAATCTTTTTTCTCCATGAGGTTCGTAAATTATAGAAAATCTAAACTCAATCTTTCAACAAGATTATGATTATCATTCCATGTTATTAGTTACATACATGTATTTATAGATGTAGAGAAGATGATTCTAGAAGTACACATGTTTGGTTGAGATCTAGAGTTTCATATTCAGTTCAAGAAGATAATATGAAAATTAAGATGACAGCTGTAGAGTCCACATGTGCACAACTGATTGGTTGAGCTGTAATCGTCGAAGTGTTGTAGACATCTTCTGTTATTTCTGTTATTGTTATTACTCCCCCTCAAGCTAACGGTCCGGGTTGAACTGTTTGTTTGTATCTCAGTTCATGAATCTTGGAGTGGAAAGAGACTTTGTTAGTATGTCGGCAATTTGATCATGCGTTGTTGTTGGAATAACTTTGATGGTTTTGAAGTGAATATGGTCTCTAATAAAATGTTGATCTATCTCATTGTGTTTTGTTCTTGAGTGAAAAATTGGATTATTGGCTAATGCAATAGCCGATGTATTGTCACAACTTAAATTAGTTGGAGCAGATAGATTGATCCTAAAGTCCAGAAGAAGTTTTCTTAGCCATATAATGTCAGCTGTCGCTACAGCTAGCACCTTGTATTCTGCCTCTATTGAAGACCTTGCCACCGTATGTTGCTTCTTCACGCTCCAAGAAATAAGAGTATTTCCAAGGTATGTGCAATACCATGTTGTAGAACGACGAGTTTTCTTGTCACTGGCCCAATCATCATCTGAAAATGAGTTTAGAACAAGCGGTCCTTTTGAAATGGGTAAGCCATAGTGAGACGTGCCTTTGATATATCTTAGTAGCTTTTTGAGCATAATCACATGATCTGGAGATGGATTGTGCATGTATTGACAAAGTAGATTTACCGTATAAGCTATATCAGATCTAGTAATTGTCAAGTATTGCAGGGAGCTTGTTATTTGGACAATAGATGTGTGGATCTGATAACATCTGCGCTGGATTTGTATTCAACGAAAGTTTAATAAATGTAGGATTAGCTAATGGCTTGCATTGTGATAAACCTGCATTCTTAAGAATGGACTCAGCATATGCATGTTGTGACATGAAGTATGAATCTTTTATCGCAGGAATCTGAATTCCAAGAAAATTGGTGATCGTACCAAGATGTTTCATGGCAAATTTCTAATTTAAATGATCAAATACATGATTAATCATTGTAGGATCATTTCATGTTAATAATATGTCATCAACATAAATTATCAGATATATTTGTATGTCATTCTTTTGAAATGTAAGCAGTGAAGAATCTGTTTTGTCATGCTAAAATCCGATTGATTTGAGATGATTGGAAAACATCTTAAACCATTGACGCGGTGCTTGTTTCAATCCGTATATTGCCTTGCGAAGAAGAGAAACATAATTTGGTTGATGTGTCCTCAAAGCCTTTTGGTTGAGCCATGTAAATTGCCTCATCAAGATGACCATGAAGAAATCACCATGAAGAAATGCATTAGCAACATCAAGTTGATGTATTGGTCAGTTGTTATGCAAAGCTATAGTGATTGGAGCTCTAATAGTTGGAAATTTGGCTAATGGACTAAAGTTTCAAAGTAATTTATCCCATACTCTTGATAATTATCTTGAGCTACTAACCTTGCTTTGAATCTTGCTACTGATCCATTTGAGTACCATTTGGTTCTAAAAGTTCATTTGCAACCGAGTATTGGAGTTTTATTTGGAGGTGGTACCAATGTCCATGTTCCTTGCTATTGAAGAGCCAAAAATTCCTCTGTTATAGCTTTCCTCCAATGAAATATTTTCATTGCTTATGTATAACAGGTGGGATCTGAATGATCTTGTGTGGAGTTGCATTGGTGAGTATGCAACAGATTTAACCTCTGTATGGGCTTTAAATTTCTCATTTTTGATCTGGTGAGCATGAGATGAATAACAGGAGGAGTGATAGAGGAAGTTGATGCATGCAAATTATTTGGCACTGAAACAGAGTTTGTATTTCGGTGGTTAGGAAGTGTATTTGGAACTGTTGATTGAGTAATGTTTTGAATTGAGATAGATTTATGTTGGCCGGAATAGGAAATAGGTGTTAGAATGCCTGAAGCATAGGTAGAGTTTGGTAATGGTGTCGGAGTGACTTGTATAGTGTGGGAGTGACTTGTATAGTGTGAGAAGCTTTGAATGGGAATGTGTTCTTATCAAATGTAACATGACGATAGACATATATTCTGTAAGTTTTGGGATCAAGATATTTGTTGCCTTTTGAGATGGAGAAGTAGCCTATGAAAACACATGCTACTGATTTCGAGGCAAGTTTGTGATGCTGAGTTGGTGGTATCCATGGAAAGCATGCACATCCAAAAATCTTTAGAGCAGAATAGTCTGGTATTATGTTGTACAATCGTTGAAGTGGTGATTTTTGGTCTGTTGATCTGGATGGCAATCTGTTAATGAGAAAGGATGTCATAAGTACTGCCTCCAGACATAATTTGAATGGAATAGCCAATGTGTGTAGTAACGTACAAGCCGTCTCAATTAGATGTCTATGTTTTCTTTTCGCCATGCTGTTTTGTTCAGGTATATAGGAACAAGAAACTTGATGGCTGATGTTGAATCCCGTGCTAACTAAGAAATAAATCCATTTGAGAATTTATGTATTTTTTTCCTCCATCTGAGCGTAAGCATTTGATTTTGTACTAGGGCCAGACCCGATACATATGAATGTAGTAGTTCTAATGAATGAGAAGATCTAGAAACATAATTTGAAAATGGGGTTTTATATCCCTTTGACATAAAGCAATCATGACATATATATTTTGAAGTAGATATCTGAAGGTGCTTGTGATTATTTGAAATTGTCTTGATTATTTGATGATGAGGATAACCAAGTTTTTTGTGCTATTGAGAAGATTCTTGCTATGCTGCGGAAAACGCATGCTGACTCTTTGGCGAAACTGGGTAGAGGCCATTAAAGCTTGGTCCCTTGAGAAGGACATGCTGCGTCTTCAAGTCCTTGATGACAAATCCATTAGCATCAAAACAAATAGAGATATTATTGTCTTTTGTGAGAGAGGAAATTGATAATAGATTGTGAGATAGTTGAGGAATATGTAAAAGTTGAGACAACCATAACTTACTTTGAGGTGTGGGCATTATTCTTGATCCAAAATGAGCAATTGGAATTGTTCTTCCATATCCAATGGTAATGTTTTATGTACCATTATATGGTAATGGTTGTTGAAAATTTTTTATAGAGTTAGTCATATGGGATCCTAAATCTAAGTACCAATCAGGATTCATTTGGTCGTTTGCCGCTACCATATCTTTTTGATTAGATTGATTCTGTGCGGGTTTTGTTGGTGGAGTGTAGTTTAGATTCAATTGATGCTAGCTTGCTGAAGCTATGTGTCCTCGTTTGTTGCATATCTGACATGTTGGAAGATTGTTGGAAGATACTCTCTGATTTGGTTGAGATGAGCGACAACGCCCTCTGCGTCCTTGTCCCCTTGAGGTGTATAATGCAGCAACTGACTCAGTAACAGATAAATTCTTGAGCGACATTGTTTCAATGTTGATTTCTTCACTAAACAGTAGTGAGTACAGTCCATCCAGACTTATTGGATTGAGATTAGTACATTAGAAGTTTTAAATGCTTGATATTGTGAAGGAAGCCCATTAAGTATATACATGATAAAATCTTTTGTATCTAGTGTCGAACCAGCTGCAGTAATTTGATCTAGTAGCACTTTAATTTATGTCAAATATTGAGTCATGGAAAATTTTTTCATAGCAATATTGTGAAGTTCATTCTTAAGCTGAATGACCTTTGATCTATTTGTCCCTTGTAATCTCCTTTCTATAGTACTCCAAATAGCCAAACATGAGTCTAAATGAATTATGTAAGGAAGAATATAGGAAGATATCGTGGTACATATGGTTGCAGCTAAAGTTTGATCTATGAGATTCCATGCTGCGTATTGTGGATTCAATATGGTAGTACCATTTGTCGATTGTGTAAATCTTTCAAGCGGACTGACTGTAGGAAGCAAATAATCTGAAAATATGTTTGCCTTCAGTAGTTCCAGAATTTGGGATTTCCAGATTGAGTAATTTTCATTTGAAAGCTAGGTGAGTACTATGGTTTTTATATTGGAGATTACAAATTTGAGAGATGTAGGTATGACATATGCTTCAGCTCCATTTGCTTCTGACAGATCGCCTGTATTCGAAGAAGATGAACGCGCCATGGAGGGACGAGAATCCCCGGAACCCATGATTCAGGCTCTGATACCATATAGAAAATCTAAACTCAATCTTTCAAAAAGATTATGATTCTCATTCCCTGTTATTAGTTACAGTACATGTATTTATAGATGTAGAGAAGATGATTCTAGAAGTAAAGATGTAATCATATGATTGATTGAGGTAATTAAGATCAAGAGTTTCATATTCGGTCCAAGATGATAATCTGACAACTGTAGTCCACGTGAGCACAACTGATTGGTTGAGCTGTAACCGCCAAAGTTGTGTATACATCTGTTATTTCTGTTAATGCAAGTCAAGTAAGACTGGGTATACGTGCATTTCTATGTTAAAAGCATGTTCAGTGAATTCTTAGCAGCCCTTGTAAGGTTGCTTACGAAAATGTGGGTAAGATTCTATTCTTCTTCAAAACCAACTAAACATCTGTAAGAAATCAGCAGAAACTGAGAAATTACAAGTTCTTAAAGGGCACATAAACATAAGAATCATATAGAGGTTAGGTTCAGTGGAAACATAAGCTATCACTAAACTTCTGAAAGCCACAAGTGGACTAATATGTACCTTAGTGCAGCTAACACAAGGAGCATCACATTGGATCCATGTTAAGTCACTGCCAGTATCGACATCAAGAAAGTAGGGTTTTGGAGGATTCCCAACAAACACAGATGTATAGTACTGTCTGAATAGAGTCAAACAGAATTTCAAATTCAATTAGAATTTACATGTCAAATGAACAACAAAAATGTAAGTCAGGCTGCGTACAATACAAAAGCATTTTAAGAAATATAAAATTCATATCAAACAGTTGAATAATAAATACAGAGATGATATCAACAATTACTCTTTGAAAAATAAATTTCAATGCATATTGACATGCCTGCAAAGCAGCAGATTACTTCCCTGTCAGTATACCTGCAATGCAAACTGTCATGCTTGCAAACATTTTAATTGGATATGACTATGGAGATGGAGATGCAGAGAGGCAGTCAATCAGCTAAGTTGCAGCTCTAAACTCTTTCACTTATGAATGTGAACAATTGGAAGGAAAAATTTTGGGCAATGCCCATCCATCAATGTCATTACGTAAAAAGTTTTACAAACTCAATCATATATATATATAATTCCCACTACTATGACCAGTTACAAGGGGTACATTTTAATTTTGATAGATCTAATTTTAATTTTGTTATTGGTTAAATTCGGAATTTGTTAAACCTACCACTCATGAATTTAGCAGATATAAAGAGTTCTCCCTCTCATAAATTTTAAATCCTAAAATAAACAACCAAATAATTTATATGAATTTAGCAAGATAGTATAGTTATCATGCCAAATAATTTTCAGGTTTTAATATTCTTGATATTGATTAAATTTGTATACACAAGACTTACTAAATCCTAATTATCAAAGAACCCCTCAAAAAAAATAACCAAAATTCATAAAACCTCCACAAAATGCCATTCATAAATAAGAAAATAATATATAGTGAGAATTGATTTTAGCAGTACAGTTGCATGCTATTAGCAACCAGAAAGCTCCAATTAGTAAATATAATTGGAGCAATCATTCGGGCGAATCTGAACATGTAAAGAACACCTATTAAACTTTTTTAATAGCACAACTTCATTTGGTTCTGGTTGCAATCTACTATACGTCGCATCACTCTATTTTAGTATTGTCTCAAATCTCAATATAGCTCTAATGTAATTTAGAGTAGTTTGCCTCAGAGCCTCAAATTAGAAATAGCCCAATCAAGCAAAAAATCATCATAATTCTTGTGCAACTCCATCAAGAGTTAATGCGATTTAAATAAGGCGCGCAATCCATGAATGCCAAGCGTAAGAAAATAAGATGCAACGAGTACCCATCGGGAAGTAGATTGCCTCGGATGGGAATCACAGCTGATGAATTCGTAACAGAAACCTTAGCAAGCTTCACGCCAGTAACCAGTGGACGAGAAGGCCCTCCCCCGACAGCAACTTCTTGAGCTCCAGGCTTGGAATAGAGAGGAAGTAAGATGGAGGAGTAGCGGGAGCGTCCGTCCTCCTCCTGCCCTCGGAGAAGCTGTACAGGGGCTTCAATAAAAAGGCAAGCCCAAATAGAGAAGAGGAGCAGGGAGAGACCGAGCACGGCAGCAACGGCCCTTTTGGCCCTAAGACGAAGGAGAGATAACCGGACTGCCGCCGGCGACTGCGACTCCGGGTAGGACGGTACCGTAGTCACCGCCGCCGCCGCCGCTGGCTCCTGCTGGAGATGGTCGTGGTTGTTGGAGATGGTGAAAGCGGTTAGGGTTTTCCCCTTGCTTGGATCACCGGGAGGCGGGAGAGAGATGATGACCACACCTCTCAATTGCTCCCTCTCCATTCAATACCTCGCTGAGCGAAAACTGATGTGAAGCGTAGAGTCTCTATTCTGTTTAGTCTTTGACTATTTCTGCACCTAACAATGGCTACCTCATCCTATGCGAGATTCGCATGCGACTGGGAAGATGAACGGACGATGATTGGGTTGCTCTCAGGTCTCAGCACAAAAGTCAAGATGCGAGGAGAAAATTCAAGAGATAGCTGCCGCCCACCGGTTTTTATTATTATTATTATTATTATTATTTAGAGTTATAATTCTTCTTAATCGGCGTGCGAAGGCTACGAAAAACGGTAAATTTGATTTTTTTTTTAAGATTTAACTAATATTTAGAAATTAAAAAAAAAATCGTATTTATGTTAGATTGCATTGAACTTTAGGTGCAATCCGATTTGCTGAAGAAAAAATATTTGGATGACCACAAAATAAATTGGTAATTATAATTTTTATTTATATTGAAGTAAAATAAATTTATTATAAAATTTGAATATGATGACGGTTAACGAATATCGGAATATTAAACATTCACCTTGATATATCATCAAAAAATTATCTTGATCCGGCAAGAATCTCGAGGCAAAATCAGGCCGGGTATTTCAAATTTCAAATTTGGGATCACCTGGGCTCCGATTTTAGCAAACTTCAGTTGAATTGAGCATACCAGAAATACGAACCCAACGACACCAAATTCAACTCAATCCGAGCCCAAATGGGTCCAAATCAAGGACTGAAGCACTGTTGGAAGGTTCAAACCACAATATGAATTATCAAACGGTTTCCAAACATGACATGCTTATAGTCGAATCGAGCAGCTCGACGAGGCAAATCCAACGAGCCCAAAATCGTCGAATTCTGATATCATTAGAGCCTTCAAATGTCTGACAAATGTTCCACGATTAAGGGATTCAATATATGTCGTTCATCCAAACCACTTCCCATTTTCTCTTGATCCTTCTCCTATTTATGGGTCATGTCATCCTCCAAAAATTATAAATAACCCCTCATTTCTCTTAAGAGGGGACCGAGGTAAGAAGAAGAAGAAGAAGAAAATAAGAGAATGAAGAAATAAGCTCCTCATTGACCATCGCCGAAGTTCCGCCCAACTTCCAAGTGACGTCGGAGTTCTGCCCGACTTCCAAGTAACGCCAGAGTTTCGCCCGACTTCCAAGCGACGCCGGAGTTCCGCCTGACTTCCAAGTGACGCCGAAATTCTATCCGACCTCCAACTCACGTCGAAACTCCACTCGATCTCCAAGTGCACCGGAATTCTATCCGATCTCCAAGTGACTTTGGGATTCAGCCCGAATAACCTACATCGACGAATCTCAAATTCTTATTTGTAAATGAATTTCAATTCGGGAGTGAATTATTGTAATCTGATCGTCATAATTTTTAAAGACGAGTAGCTTTTTGTACCTCAAGCAAACACTAGTGAAATTCTTTCAACTAGACGTGGCCCCGTGATTTTTCCATTTCCAGTGTTTCCCATGTGAAAATCCTGGTGTTCTTTTATCTTATATTTGTGTGCTGAATATCCGTACAACGCTGAAACGAAAACTTTCTAACTATATCGCCGCGTATATTATAGTCCGCAACACAACTAATTATGAGTTTATATCTTACTGCCTCTCTCTACTGGGAAAAAAATTAGGAATGAGTAAAATCGTAAAGCAAAAATACAATTTTCTAGAATCCGGGAAAACGAATTCATGGTTTAATCTTTTTAATAGAAACCAGAGAACGTAATTCCAGTTTATGTAATTATATTAATATTTTTCTGAAATTATTTTTTTTAATTTAATGTCCCGGTTTAAGAAGAAATCGAAAATTTGAGTTTCGGTTTCTTCTTTTTTTGGGAAAAGTTTCAGTTTCTTCGTTCTTCTTCCGTGCGATTGATGACAAATTATTGCGTCATACAATCAATCAAAATAATAGCAGTTCATTTTAATATTATTAAATTTCTCTGCACTTTTTAAATTAATATTTTTTTAATTAATTATTAAATAGTAGAGTGCTAAATTTATTTAATTATATGTTAAAATCCTAACGGACTGGTGTTTTTGAAATGTTAACATGTTTGAGTTTATTAAAGATGCACTATTGTTATTTGTAATGCTTGATGATATTATTAAGGGAGTTGGAGAACATCTTGTTGTGCAAATAGGGGTTCGAACAAGTCGAGTCAAGCTCGAGCCATAGGTAATTCAAGCATGACTCGACTCGTAAGCTCATTAACGAGTATATTGTTATGACCTGTGCATAATTTCATATAAGCTTCTCAAACTAGTAAGGGGTTGCAAGGAATTTTTTCTAAACACGACACACACACAATGCCTTCGTCACTTACATGAGAACTTCAAGAAAGTTGTACGCTGGTTAGGTATTCCAAATAGTGAGGCCCTAAGTGATAAGATGTATTGTGCTGGAAATACATACGGTGAATATTACTTCTATTACATGATGAACGACATAAGAATTGTTAAGGAACAAGCATTTGATTGGATGGTCCGACATGCTATGATGAAGTGGACTCTCATGTATGATGAAGACCATCATTATGAAGTTATGATGAAAAACACATCCAAATGTTTCAGTGACATTCTTAGACGTGCTTGTGGCCTACCAGTATAAGGTCTAGTAATGGCTATATGCTACAACCTCGTGTCATTATTCCTGAAATGTTCAATAAAGGCATTCAAGTGGGTTGAGGGTGATTCCAACTTTGCTCCAAGGATGAAGATAGCCATGCAATGCTCCGAACGTGAAGCCCTAAGAAGTTTAGAGCCAATTATGATAAATAGCCAAGAATTTGAGGTTGTGGGCATGCCACATTGTGCACATAAAGTTGACAAAGTAGGTTCAAATTCTTCTTTGTGCACATGCAGTAAGCCACAGCTGTACCACATATCGTGCCTACATGTTATTGTCGCAGCATCAATAAGGTGATATGATTACAATGTGTTTGTGTCGCCCTACTTCATTTTATACTTTTATAGAGAGACGTGCCCTAAATTATTTCATGTGATACCATCAAAAGAGTGTCATCCCATCAATCAAGAGGATGTACTTATCCCTTTACTAGCACCCACATTCAGGCATCGTGTTGGTCGACAAAGATTAAACATATTTCAAAATATGATGGATGAGGCATCCTCTTTACTACACAGGACATGCAGTTTCTGCAAAAACTTTGGTCATAGTAGAGCTACATATCCACAAAACCTTAGCTCTTCCAAGTAATGAGCATGTTGCCGTATTTTTAAAAAGTTCATATATCATACATTAAAATACATGGAATAAAAAAATAATTTGCAAACCTTTATGCAGGTATGACATAGGATGGAATTCATTGATGAGATGCAGAGGTAGGGCAACAGGGGCAATTGCGTGTTATATATAATATGCTACTTTATACTACCCAATTGCTCAATTTCACACATCCCATTATAATGCCTGCCTCTTATGGAAGATCAAATGGTCTTCGGTCGCATGTCGTTGGATAGTTCCATCCTTGCACATATATATAGGGAGATATGTTTGTCGGTGAAGCCCACCATATTACATATCACCTAATTCTTACCCCTCCTACAGTTGTAATCTTGGGAGTGGCTTCACATCAGGCAACTAAAGCTTCAAGACCATTACTATGGAAGATTAAGGGAAAGCCATTGGGTTACAGGCATTACCTCCTACTAAATTAATAATTTTCTCCCTTATTTTTTTCAAACTTTTGTGTTATAAGAGATTAATTTATGTGTAAGTGTGAAGGACCAACTGCATGAGATGCAATCGGGCATCTTGCTGATGATATATAGGGATAAGTTGGACAGCTTATGACAGAGTTAGGTAATACTATGTGCATATTTAAAGTTAGTTTTCACCTTTGGCATATGCTTACTCTGCTAAAATGAGAATTAATTACCAAGTCATCTTCATGCCATATTATGACGACATCATTAGTATGTTTCCTCCGAGATATCATAAGGGAACATACATTTGGACTTCCTGAGTATCATTTTTGGAAGCGGGTTGAGTGGCACAAGGTAGATTGATTTATGTGACAGTTTGGTGGAGTTCAGTCGATATATGTGCAGCCCATTGATAGATAATTTAGGCAAGTTGATGGTCCGGGCATAATCGAGGTCGATTAGACACAATACCACATGGAGTACATTACTATTTGGGAGAGAAGACATGCATTCATCATACTAATCATCTCTCATGAAGGATATTATAAAGAGGTGCTAGCCACATATATGAGGTGGTACAAGTGTTGGGCATCATTGTATATTTTGACTCCTCCACAATAACGTCATAATCTTTCTACCATAGGTTGTTACATGAGCAGGCTCTGATAAGCAAATTCATTACGTATATTAAACTTCTATCTTAGTCATTATTATTATCATATATGTTACAATAACTAAAGTTTAGTCTTGTATAACTTGAATACGCAAACAATATATGAGATATAGTGCAACTATTCATTGGCTGCCATGGGAAGAATACAAATTTGATGCAACAAACAATGGACCAGATTGATTATCTCAATGCAGAATGTAAAAGTCATTATTTATTGAAAACCCTGAGCAACAAGAGATGTAGAGTCAGAGACGGGCCGGGAGCCATCACTAGGCTGAACCATCCAGGCGGTCAATGTCTGATGCTCTTTTACAGGAGAAGGCTAGGAGCAGTCATCATTGATATGAATATAACCAACCAAGTCAATCGATGCATGCGGGATCAGGTGACTTTATGGTGCCATCATTATTTGTTGGAGGTTTTCTTAGCATGACAGGGGTGCAGGGTTTAGCAGAAGAAGACACATTAATACAACATTGGAACCCTTTCACAGGACAACCATAAATGCAGCAACAAACGAGCATGAACATCCCTTCCTGGATGAATCCATTTGGGTTACCATCATCTCCTACTCAACATGATGTGCTACTCTAGCAAACTCAGGGATCATTATCTAATATAAATGAGGGGGAAGAATAAGCAGATGAGGATGATCAGGTGCACTGAAAAGTTCACAATGCACCTACTAGATATATATTGGATCTGGGGCCATTCATCATTGAAAAAAAAGGTTGTCATTTTCTATGCAAATGCATAGAATAATTTGTAATATTATATTATATTTCATCAATTGAAAGTAACTTTATTTTATATTTCAACTCATA